CATCACTGAACAGTTATCGTCTGGTCGTCATAATGAAGTCAATCTCATTTTTTGTCGAACCGTCGGGGCTCGACCAGGTCCACTTCATGTGGGCCGCTTCTGGAAGAAAGAGTTCATTATAAAGAGTCCCTCTTTCTCCATGAAGTCGGCCAGCTGCTGGCCCTTTTGGTTCCGTTGCCCTATTCCGAATTTCCCTATTTTCAGCTCACCGTTCTCTCTTGTGCCTAGTTTTGCGTTGAAGTCTCCTATTAACACCGTATAGTGGGTTTTGGAGGAATGCGTGGCTCTAGAGTTATCCTCATACATTTCCTTCATCTACTCATCGGGGTGTGCCGAGGTTGGTGCGTAAGCCTGTATGACCTTCAGCGAATACCGTTCAGTGATTCTGAGTATAAGGTACGCAACCCTCGTCGACACACTCCCAATATTTACAACGTTGTTAACGAGAGACTTGTGGGCGATAAATCCGACACCTCCTTGGAACAGATGGTCGCTCTCCCTGTGATAGAGCAAGTTGCCGGATTCGAGGGTTACCGTGTACTCCCTCTCTCTTCGGTCCTCGGATAATCCTATAATATGCCAGCGTATTTTCGCTATCTCTTCTTCCAGCTCCACGATCTTCTCGTCAGTCCTCAGGGTGCGTGCGTTGTATGTTGCCAGGACGAGTCGTCTTAGGTGGCAACCCGAGAAGATATGGGTTAGTAAGTATTCTTACCCGCCACTACACTGGGGAAGTTTAATTATTTTTAATACTAGTATCGATCCTGGCATGCAATTAAATCTATCATGGAGGCAATAAATGAACGGATATTCCACATAAACCTGCGGTTTTTTTTTTATCATGGGTTTGGAAATATTTTACAATAACTTGAGGTAATACATTTTGAAATCTAAATTCTTTTATTCAAGTATTAACATTATGTTTGAATTATGTCTCGGCGACAGTTAGAGAAGTATTCAATGACTCTGTTGTCAAGATATACTCGTATTAGTGAAATATTTTTTAAACACCACTTCAACTTCTTGATTTGATTTAGTCAACTCATTGCTAACTTTTAATTGATAGTGTGTGCTACGAGGTTTATATTTACCGGTTTCGCTGTTAATGATACTCCACGTCCTTTCAATTTTATTCATAATCATATTAATTTATTATTTATAGTATATATGCTGCTGTATTTCGTATGGTGAGATTTGAGAACCGAATACTCCTTTTTATTACAAATAAACGCATCTGCATTTTGATTTTTAACCGAGGATAGATGCAGATGTCTATGGGTCGCAGCATCAACTTACCTTTAGGAGGACTGTGTGCTCGTTTGTCACCCTTATTTTGTAAAAAAGTTAGATCTTAGAAGTAATAAGTTGGTTAACACTTGTATAATTAAAAATAATAAATATTCTCACCACAATACAGTAAACTCAATATAACATGAAACAAAAACCTTGCAGAATTTGTATAGGATAGTTTATTGTGGGAGACCGGTGCCTAAATTAAGCGGTGTGACTCTAGTAATTCATTTGTTTGTATTTGTTAATCAATAATATAATACGTTTGTCAATAATTATGTACTACGAAAGGAACTTCGTTCCAACCGAGTGTTCCACGACACTCAAGCATGTTTTTTTTTATTATAGCAAATGTCAGTAAATGACTTCATAATTTTTGTTGTCTAGTAAACGTTTTAGTACTTGAGTGACCGAGTATTTACCGGCTATATAAACAGTCAGAGATGAAAGATGCAAAACAAATTTTAGCAAACTCTGATGTAGACGTCCTTCTGTAAGTTAACCTAAGGAATGTTTTTAACTATATCGATAAGGTGACCCTGCTGACAGAAGTGGATAATAATACCCTAGAAATTTATTATTAAGTTTGGCAATGTTACAGTCGAAATACTAACTTGTTGTACGAAATTCATATTATCGATTTTGCTGTCGGTATTCAGCGGGGTGACCCACTAGGTTCAGGTTTTTAGGTTTGGGAATTTAACCCATCACCCATTATTTCAAATTTGAAATCCAAGATAAACGTCTGGTACCTGGACAACGGTACTCTGGGAGGTAGAGCAGATGAGGTCGTCAGTTATCTTACTCATATTTTTAAAAACTTTAAAAATATTGGTCTTGAACCAAATATCAATAAATGTGAAATATTTTTTCCAATAATTTATCTAGTTCTAACAGAGACACTAATTAAAAATTTCAATCAATTTTCTCCAGTAATAAAAACTGTCAGTGCGGAATCACTATACCTGCTAGGTGCTCCGTTGTTTTTCAATAGTATTAAACCTGTTTCAAAAACAAAATTTGGTCAGTTTTAAACCACGTTGATAAATTGTAATTACACATTGCTCTTACTAATTTAAAATATTGTCTCCTTGTGCCTAGATTTACATACTTACTCCTTTCGAGTTCAGTCTGGAAATGTTCGGATATTTTAAAAGATATTGATAATAATCTTAAAATAGCTATAGAAAAAATTCTAAATATATCTCTAAATAGAAAAGTACTTTACCTATAAAATTTGGAGGTATTTGTGTGAAAAATCTTTATAGTGTTGCATTTCCTGCATTATTTGCTTCCGTGCATAGTGACTTATGTAACATAATTTTAAATAATAAAATAGACCTTTGCTTTGCTGCGGAGGCGGAGCAGACATGGCAAATGCACTGTCCTAGCGAAAATGTTCCACTGGAAGTTAACTGACGAAAACAGTGGGATATTCCGTTGGTACGGAGTGTGCAGAAAGATTTGTTTCATAATACCCATAGTTACAAAGACCGGGCCCGCCTTCTAGCTGTTTCGACTTAGGAATCTAGTCACTGGTTTCACCAAATAATCTTGGCACATTATTTGATGGGGAAAGCTTGCGCATCGCCGTAGGAATCCGACTAGGAGCGACGATTTGTCAACCTCATCAGTGCCCTTGTGGTATTTATCAGCGTCAACAAGTTTGAGCTCAATGTACTGGTTGGTTTTTTTATCATAGTTTTTTAATATTGTATATTTTTTTCGAGATGAAAGTAAATTATTAAAGTAATATTATCTTAATACAAATAAATCACTAAAATCGTCAAAGTCGTTTCCAAGGAATCAATTACATAGTTTATTTTACTATTACACTAAGATTTTTTCCTGTATCGTGGAGGAAGTTCAAATACATAAATTTTCCAAGGACAAAAAATTATTTAAAGGCTATACAAATACTCGTCCTGTGCGGGATTCGAATCCGCGGCCCTAAGAGTCGCAATTCAATACTAAGGCACTGCGCTATAGATAAATACGCGCGAGAATTGCTCGCGTAAAATATAGGATTTGTATGTTTTACGAGTAAATAACTAATATCTTATTGATCTTGAAACTAAAAATGAACGAGTGCTTGACAAATATTATGACGTAAGTAGTATTTTTTTTTACAATCTTATCGTCTACTAAATTGCCAGATAGGGCAAAGGTGGGTTATCTTCAACTAGGTATCAGTAAAATGTTTTATTTTCTACTTAAATGAATCCAGATATCTATTACGTAAGATATTTTTCACAAATCATGTAGGTACGAATATCGAAGTAAGTGCTGCGTCAAGTCAAATTTTGTCTAAAGACAATGGCAAATATATTTACTACGCGCTCAGCCATAATAAGGAAGATATTGCGAGAAATCCAGCATGTCTGAAAAATTTAAATATTTCGAATATTTGTGAAGTCTGCCTTGCTACATTTTAGCAACGACAAAAGCTATTTTTTAACGATTAGACTTCCCGAAAAGATAATTCTTTTTTCAGATTCTTATTGTGAGGAACAGCAAATGCCATACAACTAATAACTATTCAAGAGAGTGTATTCAAAATATTTCCTTTAAGCTCTCATACGATGCGATGCAAAAGGAGTATTGGCAGCTATTTCATTTACCACGGGGTCTGCTCTGAGGAACTGTTCGACGTAATTCCAGCCACCGAATATCACCAATTCATTTCGTGACATTACTCACAATACCATACACAACATGTCTTTTGAATGCTTGGCGGTCCACCACTGTGTATTTCACTAGGAGTTTTCTTCGCCGCGTGACTTCTATGTGGAATCGTTTACGAGCAGCGATTTTTCTGGACCGATAAGACTAAGAAACCTTCATAAAATGAGCATACTCCTTTTTAAAAGCACGCACCTGCAATTCTCCTGGTGTTGGAGTTGTTCGTGGGAGGCGGTCGACACTTACCATCAGTTGAACCAAATGTTCACTTGTCCCATTTCTATAAAAAAGATGATGATAGTCTCAGGCATTAGGTCCGCATATTTTTATTAGATTTAATGTGTAAACATACATACATACATACATATAATCACGCCTCTTTCCCGTAGGGGTAGGCAGAGACCAGTTCTTTCCACTTGCTACGATCCTTACATACTTGTTTTGCTTCGTCCACTTTCATTATTCCCTTCATACATGCTCTTCGGTTTAGGGTACTCTTGACCTGGCCTTTTTTCAAGACGTCCCTGATTTGGTCTAGAAATGTCCGCCTAGGTCTACCCCTTCCAACACTTTCATTCACACTCGCCTTATACACTTTTTTCGTCAATCGTTCTTCATTCATTCTCTCGACATGGCCAAACCATCTCAGCATACCTTTCTCAATTTTTGTCACTACATCTTCTTTCAGACCACAACGTTTCCTTACCTCACTATTTCTTAGCCTGTCACTCAGTTTAACTCCTATCATACTTCTTAATGCTCTCATCTCAACTGCATTTATTCTGCTTTCATGTTTCTTCTGCCATACCCAACTTTCACTTCCGTACATGAGTGTCGGAACCAACACCCCCTCATGCACAGCCAAACGAGCCTTGTTAGACACCTTCCGACTGCTCATAAAGGAGTGCAAAGCTCCATTCACCATGTTTCCTGCATTCACTCTTCTTTCGATATCACTCTCACACTTTTACACTTTCCAATGTGTAATGTGTAAACGAAGGTTAATAAACTAATCATTTTTTTTTCAGCTGACGTCCTTGCTATGTTGCGTGATTTTCCGGAAAAGTACGGGTATAGATACATGATCAAGGTGTTCGGTCAGCGTGTTTTGCATATCTACAACGTAGAGGATATAGAGGTATCTTCTTCTATGCTTTTTTTTTAGTTTTACTGCCAGTGCAGTCCATGGACACCTGAAGCCATCTTCAAACAAGGAAGATTACAGATGTGTTGTCACCTCAAAGGAATAAGATGAAATGGGTCAAAGCCTTTTTCTTTATATAGAATAAGGGTGACGAACGAGCCCACAATCCACTTGATGGTAAGTGCATGTTATGGCCTATAGACATCTACATTTATCCTCAATTATGAATAAAAATGCAGATGCGTTGTCACATCAAAGCAGCCGCAAGAAAACTTGGTGTCCTTGCAAGGGTGCGGCGGTACTTCACGCTGGGGCAGCTTCTAACCTTATATAAAGCGCAAGTCCAGTCTTGCATGGAGTACTGCTGTCACATATGGGCTGATGCTGCAAAATGCCACCTGGCAGCGTTGGACATAGTGGAGAGACGTGCTAAGAGGCTCATTTGTGACCTTGATTTGGTTGAAACCAATCTTGTCAGCCTCGAGCACAGGCGCAGAGTAGCCAGTCTCTCGGTATTCTCTGGACGTCTTCAAGGCAAGAGCGAATAGGCTTTTGTTACGCTAAGAGAGTGCGATTTACCATCTAGGGCTGCATCACCACTTACCACCAGGTGGGATTGTGGTCAGTCACTGGCTTATAATAAGTAAAAAAAAATTATTTAAAAACTCACGTAATCAATAGGTGCCCACCAGTCATGTTATAACTAAACTCCCTTATTTCATTTCAGATTATTTTATCGAGTTCAAGGAATATTACAAAAAACAAGCCATACTTATTCCTTGAACCATGGCTCGGGACTGGATTGTTGATAAGCACAGGTGAGTGAAAATCAAAATGTGAACATGAAATAGTGCTTCTTCCGGAAGCATTCTATCTTAACCCTCAGGGTCGACAACGCATTTAAATTTTGATTCTAAATCGAGGATAAATCATCAATCATATAGATACAGCATCAACTTAATACGAAGTGGATTGTGTGCTCGTTTGTCACCCTTATTCTATAAAAAGTTTCTTACCTTAGCAGCTCATACAAACTATTGCCAAACGTCTTCTTCATCAAGCCGTAAAGTCAATGGACTCTCCCGTTGTAGAGAAGGTTTGTCTTTTGTCACGCATGGCAGGCACATTGTCACTGTACCACACGTCTCCCACATTTCAAGCTGCTACCAGTTAACATTCTGGATATTTTACGTCTACCATAAACGAGATGGTATACAGCCGTCTATCGGAAACCATAAAATATCTCTGGCGTTTTCCATAGTCGCCGCTGTTACCCTGTGACAAATTGGAGTGATTTTATCAAGTCACCACTATATATACCATTAGTAGGTATATGTAGCGTGTAATGGCGGTGTAAGAATATCCACTATTCTATATCGTTCCGTGGGCACCGTAAGAGGCGATAGACAGAAACTGAAACAGGGAAATGGGCAGAAGCATGTCATGGAATTGTCTAATGCTGACAGCAACTCAAAATTATTATGTTGTGTTTCTGATAAATTCAGGTTTACCCCACAGTGGGCTTATGTACTCGCACGAAACATCTTTCTCCGCTGAGCAGCTATTGTTCTCACTAGATGTATATAAACTAATGTTTTTATCAATAAATAAATATTCTATATATATATATATATATATATAATATCTTCTTTAAGACGGCTCCGTGGCGCAGTGGCTTATTTTTTTTTATAGGAGAGGGAGCAAACGAGCATGCGGCTCACCTGATGGTAAGTGACTACCGCCGCCCATGAATAACTGCAACACCAGGTAAATCGCAGATGCGTTGCCGGCCTTTTAAAAAGGAGTACGCTCTTTTCTTGAAGGTCCCTAAGTCGTATCGGTCCGGATAAATCGCTGATGGTAATCGATTCCACAAGGAGGTCGTGCGAGGAAGAAAACATCTTCTAAATCGCACAGTGGTGGACCGCCAATCATCCAGATGCTGTGGATGGTATCGGGAGTTCTGCCGCGATGTACGTTCGTAAAATTTGGCGGCTGGGATTAATCCGAACAATTCCTCAGAGCACTCCCCATGGTAAATGCGAAAGAAAACGCAAAGGGATGCAACATCTCTTCGCAGTGCCAATGAATCGAGCCGATCGGAAAGGGCTCGGTCGTCGACGATTCGAGCCGCTCTGCGTAGGATGCAGTCAAGTGGAAGGAGCTGGCACTGGGGAGCCCCTGCCCAGAGATGGAAACAGTATACCATGTGAGGACGAACTTGCGCCTTGTAAAGTTGCAGGCGGTGTGCCGGCATGAAATACTGTCCCGCTCTGCTGAGCACGCCAAGCTTTTTAGAGGCCAATTTGGCCTTCCCTTCCAAGTGACCACGAAACTGCACGTCACTCGATATGTCGACTCCGAGGATACCGATACTGGCTGAGGCAAGAAGGGGAGTGCCTTGAAACTGAGGAGATACGACAAAGGGGTTCTTTTTAGCGGTAAACGCGCAAACTTGTGTCTTCTGAGGATTAAACTGGACTAGATTTAGTCGCCCCCAATCCGAGACTTTGCTCAGCAAAGACTCGACTTCAGACACAAGTTTGTTCCGGTACTCAGCGACGTTTTCCCGAGAAATATTGGCACGGCCGGTGTATAGAGCATCACCAGTGCTGTCATCCGCATAGCAATGAATGTTACCAGTTAGCAACATATCATTGATATGCAGAAGAAACAGCGTTGGTGATAGCACACAGCCTTGTGGAACACCAGCGTTAATAGGCTTGTAGTCAGAGCATGCACCGTCTACAACGACCTTGATGCTCCGATCTGCAAGGAAGCTGGTGATCCAATTGCACAATTTCTCGGGAAGCCCATAGGAAGGGAGCTTCGAAAGAAGCGCTTTGTGCCAAACCCGATCGAAGGCCTTCGCAATGTCCAGACTAACGGCCAACGCCTCCCCCTTGGACTCTACTGCCTCCGCCCATCTATGGGTCAGGTAGACCAGAAGATCACCAGCTGATCGACCCCGACGAAAACCGTATTGGCGGTCACTAATCAGCTGGTGATCCTCAAGGTACCGGATGAGCTGGCAGTTAATAATGGATTCCATTATTTTGGAGAACAAGGAGGTGATCGCGATAGGCCTATAGTTGGATGGGTCTGAGCGGTCGCCTTTTTTAGGGATCGGGTGGACAAAAGCTGTCTTCCATGAATTCGGGACTACGCCTTGGGAGTAGGAGTACCGGAAAAGACGCGTTAGGACCGGTGCCAACTCCGGAGCACACGTCCTCAGCACAATTGTGGGGATTCCGTCAGGCCGACTCGACTTCTGGATGTCCAGGGAGAGCAGTACTTTGCGAACCGAGCGCTGTGAGAACAGCACATCCGGCATGGAGCACTCACACCGCGGGATGGTCGGCGGTGTTTTCCCCCCGTCATCAAGAGTCGAGTTGGACGTAAAAAGGGGCCTAAAAGGTCGGCTTTGTCTTTTGCGTCATGGGCCAGTGAGTTATCCTCCCTGTGCAGAGATGGTAGTGATGGCTTACAGAAATTCCCTTGTACAGCCTTGGCGAGAGACCAGAATGCACGGGTTCCCGAAGGAAGGCGAACTAGTTTCTCGCCAATTCTGCCTATGTGCTCTGACTTTGCCTTGGCAATAACTCTTTTGAAGGACCTGGAGGCGAAGTTATACTTCTTTTTAAGTGTGCTGGTGTTTACATCCCGAGTCGCCGAAGCCGCAGCCCAGGCTTGATAACACTCCTGCTTACTGCGTAATGCAGTCTTACAGGAGCGACCAAACCAAGGCTGAGATCTACCTCCGATGGGTACCACAGATGATGGAATAAATAGTTAGCAATCAGTTGTTGCACTGGGGGCCGCGGGTTCGAATCCCGCACGGAACAAGTATTTGTATGGCCTACAAATAATTGTTTCGGGTCTGGATGTTTGTTTGTCCTTGTGCAATTATGTTTGTAAACTGCCTCCACGACACAGGAGAAAATCCTAGTGTGGGGTAACGTTTATATTTAGAAAAAAAAATAATTAAATTAAATTGATATTAATAAATATACGTTAACGATTTTCATCATTGAAATGAAATGAAATTAAAATTTTCATCATTAGCTTACTGCTTTTTACTGAATAACATTTCTTGACTTAATTCCCTTTTTTGCTTATTTTAACTATGATTAATTCCAATTTGTTTTATCTTTAGGCAAGAAATGGCATCAACGTCGGAAAATTTTAACCTCCACATTCCACTTTAATATACTCAAGAATTTTTCAAAAGTGTTCGAAGAGAAAAGTCGCGATCTGGTCCATAGACTGAAGCAAATGCCTGATGAAGTGGACGTTGCATCTGTTTTTAGCGATTTCACGCTCTATGCAATATGCGGTTGGTAAAAATACAAGCCTTTAATCGTTAAGTATAATATAAATTTTAACTTGGAGACAAATCCAAGTCTTTGCAAAATAGCAGTAATATAAGTGAAACACACAAAAAATAAACTACCTCTAATTGACTAGTGTGTGCAATTTTGCAAGGTGTTGTAATTCGTTTTCGTTTACAGGGTTCTGTATTCTTTTACTACATAATGACATTATTATGAGGCACTCCAACTGTTTTTTACCGGCGCATACCCGCCTCGTGGTGGCAAAAACGGTTTATGTCGGACTTACACTTACTAAAACCCCATAGTGTTCCACCTTCGCTACATATTGGCAGGGCCACATGAACGCTTTCATATACATCCACGATCCCACCAGTGCAGGCTTTTTCTCGGGAAGTGACTACTGCTCCCCCTTCTTCTTAGAACACAAGGCGCGCCTTCTGGCCAGCCCTTCACCTCGGGCCAGCCATGTGCCACATTTTGTGTCATAACAGTATAACGAAGTGCCTGCAACTACATTGATAATTTGCTCAGAGCCGTGGTTGTAACTGTCGATACGCATTATCGATGAATTCGAGAACCTCGGAAATCACGTTTAAAAAGTGATAAACAGAGTGGAGTGAGAGTGGATATTATAATAAAGATAGAATTTTTTAGCCGTGTAGTGGTGGTTAAGAATATCCACTACCCCATATCTTCCCGTGGGTGTGGTAAAAGGCGACAAAGGGTAACAGGTAGGAGATGGGCAGCAGCATCTTCCTGATAACAACAAACTTACAATAAAAAAACTGCGGTTGCCAACCCGATGATATGATGAGAATAACAAAGAAACGGCCCCCAGTCCCCGGCGGCCCCGCTATTCCTGGCTACGGTGGCGACCATGGTAACGGCGGGGCAACGGGTGCTAAGAATCTCCGGTGGAGGTTTGGTTGCCACCTAAGACGACTCGACCTGGCAACATACAACGCACGCACCCTGAGGACTGACGAAAAGATCGTGGAGCTGGAAGAAGAAATAGACAAGTTACGCTCGCATATTATAGGATTATCCGAAGTCCGAAGAGAGGGGGAGGATAGGGTAATCCTCGAATCCGGCAACTTACTCTATCATCGGGAGGGCGACCATCTGTCCCGAAGAGGTGTCGGATTTATCGTCCACAAGTCTCCTGTTAACAACGTGGTAAAGGTTGAGAGTGTGTCGACGATGGTTGCGTACCTTATACTCAGAATCACCAAACGGTATTCGCTGAAGGTCATACAGGTTTATGCACCAACCTCGGCACTCTCCGATGAGGAGGTGGAGGAAATGTGTGAGGATATCTCTAGTCATGCATTCCTCCGAAATCCACTAAACGATGTTAATGGGAGACTTCAATGCAAAACTAGGCACAAGAGAGAACGGTGAGCTGAAAGTAGGGAAATTTGGAATAGGGCGACGGAACCCAAAGGGCCAGCAGCTGGCCGACTTCATGGAGGAAGAGGGACTCTTCATGATGAACTCTTTCTTCCAGAAGCGGCCCCACAGGAAGTGGACCTGGTCGAGCCCCGACGGTTCGACAAAAAATGAGATTGACTTCATTATGACGACCAGACGATAACTGTTCTGTGATGTCTCCGTGATCGCGAGGGTGAAAACTGGTAGCGATCACCGAATGGTTAGAGGTAAACTGAACCTAAACGTTAAGTTGGAAAGGTCTCGTCTAATGAAGTCAACGCTCCGTCCCCCTCGTGCTCTGTTCCAAAGTCCTGAAACCTTTCAGCTCGAGTTACAAAACCGTTTTCAGTGCCTAGAAGACTGCAATGAAGTGGACGACATGAATGACAAGCTCGTGAAAACAGTCCATGTGGTCGGAGCTAAGTTTTGCAAGACCACAAAAACTCTCTGATCACACTCTCAATCTCATGGCTGTTAGACGGGAGATGAAGCAACTGAACAGACAGATCTCCAAATGCATGCGGCGGGACTTACGCAACTTCAATACAGCTTGTATTGAAGAAGTAATCGAGCGGAACCAAGGCTCTAAAGTCTTTGCGCGAGATCTGTCTGCCAGAAAGAGCCAACTGTCAAAGCTAAAGACCAAATGTGGTAGCGTCGTTTTTGGGACACCTGAGATTTTGAGTGAGATTGAGAGGTTCTATGGGCAGCTGTACACGTCATCGTTGGAGCCACACGCAAGTGTGAGTAAAGATTCAAGAGCGAGTCTTATCCGACACTATTCCGAAGATATCCCGGACATCAGTCTGAGCGAGGTTAGAATAGCTCTCCAGCACCTTAAAAACGAAAAGTCCCCGGGCGAGGATGGAATTACAGCGGAGCTTTTGAAAGCGGATGGAAAACCTGTATTTGAAGTCCTTCAGAAGCTCTTTAATTCCGTCGTCCATGGTGGCACTACTCCGGAGGCGTGGAGCAGAAGTGCGGTGGTCTTGTTCTTCAAGAAAGGCGACAACGCTCTCTTGAAGAACTACAGACCGATTTCCCTTCTGAGCCGCGACTACGTGCTGTTTTCGAGAGTTATTACGAATCGTCTCGAACGCAGACTTGACGACTTCCAGCCTCCTGAACAAGCCGGTTTCCGAAAAGGCTTTAGTACCATAGACCACATACACACCCTTCGGTAAATTATACAGAAGACAAAGGAGTATCATCTGCCACTTTGCCTTGCGTATGTGGACTATGAGAAAGCCTTTGATTCCGTCAAAATTTGGGTGGTGCTGCAGTCTCTTCAGCGATGCCAAGTTGACTGTCGGTATATAGAAATGCCGAAGTGTTTGTACAGTAGAGCTACGATAGCTATCCGAGTACAGAATCAGAGTACGAAACCTATCCAACTGCAGAGAGGTGTAAGATAGGGTGACGTTATATTCCCGAAACTCTTCACCGCTACATTGGAAGACGTTTTCAAGCTGCTGGACTGGAAAGGATGCGGTAGCAACATCAATGGCGAGTACATCACTCACCTTCGATTCGCCGGCGATATAGTCCTTAAGTCAGAATCGCTGGAGGACCTAAGCACTATGCTCAATGACCTCAATAGTGTCTCCCAACGGACAGGTCTTAAGATGAACATGGATAAAACAAAAATCATGTTTATCGTCCATGTCACACCTATGCCGGTAGTTGTTGGGAGCACTAAGCTCGAAGTTGTCCCATATTTGTCCCAGGTAAACATACTCGTCAGTATGTTTACCTGGGACAAATAGTCCGACTAGGTAAGTCCAACTTCGACCGAGAGGTCAATCGACGGATTCAAATCGGCTGGGCAGCGTTCTGGAAACTACGACACATCTTCTTGTTAGACATACCTCAAAACCTTAAAACGAAATTTTACAACCAGTGCGAGTTGCCAGTGATGATTTACGGATATGAGACGTGGTCCTTCACTGCTGGCCGTATGAGGAAGCTCAAGGTCTCTCAGCGCGCTACGGAGAGGGCTATGCTCGGGGATTCTCTGCGTGATAAACTTAGAAATGAGGATATCCGCAGTAGAACCAGAGTAACATGAGCGGATGATTCAACGGGCAGCCGCGTGTTCGAGCCCGAATGGCCTTATGAAAAATATTATATCCTACTGCAATTTAATGGGGAGGCTAGTCAAATAAAGAGTACTTACCTGTATCTGAGGCGACGACCGTCTCAAGGTTCGGTCAGGACGGAGGTGTGTATGTGCATGTGCGGTGGTGTTTTTTGTGGTGTGGATGTGATTGACCTGACTGGACCGTTGAAGTCGGCAGCTGCCCGGACTCCGGCACCGCTCCAAATTATGGTAATCTCCAGCGGCGTCACCCACGGTCAATTTCTTTCTTCTTTACTATATCAGTCTATTAACTTTATTGTACATTTAACTAACTTCAAAACACAACTAAATCCCGTTACTTATATTCAAAAACGTAACACACAGCACGAATACCGAATGTTCGGATCAAAGGTCACTTCGGTTTCGCGTGGCAACAATTATTTCTAGAACCTAACACGACCTTCTCTAGTGTCACAAAGTTTAGCGTTCAACCGACAACCGAAAATGTCTCCGAACTATATCGAATGCCGCACGAGCAAATTAATATTGTCAAATGCACTTATATACTCTATCAAATTAGAATAACCAAATTCGCGGTAAATTAGGTGCGCACGACACACAAATTCAGACGTTGATCGCAATCAATGTTAACTTCCTAACAATTTGTCAATCCGGCGTCTAATTCTATACTGCAATTCCTTGTCGTTGCACAATTTGCTAACAAAACTGACTCTCAAAAATGGAGGTTATCCCGAGAGACTTCACGACGTGCTATCGACAGCACTGCTTTCAAGCAACTACCGTTCTGCGCTCGCGCCCTCAGCCAAAGCCACTCCACTCGCCCGAACGTCAAAACCGGTATGGCATCGAGCCGAGCGCCCTCCGGCGTCAAATCTTGGAACCAGCGTTTGGGCGTGAACAGTCGTAGGCAAATAGTTTAATGTATATTTTAGATACCGTGCAATGGCCGTGTAACAATTTCCACTAGTCCATATCGTCCCGTGGGTGTCATAAATGGCGACAGAAGGAAACTAAATCAGGAGATAGGTAGCAGTATCTTCATGACAACAAAATTATAAAAAAACTACAGTTGCCAACCCGCCGGCCAAGCGTGGCAATTATGGCAAAATTGCCCTATGACGCAATCTATTGGGGAAGCCTAAGTTCAGCACTGGACTTTTATAGACTGCACTGGATAATATAGATATCTTGAATTTGCCATATTTAAATACTGTTTTATATATTACAGAAACAGCTATGGGAACCCAACTCGATTTTGAAAAATCTGAGAGTAGCGTTAAATATAAAGATGCAGTTCAAGATATTGGTAAACAAGTTTCAAATCGTCTTGCAAAATTTTGGCTCCATTCTGATTTAGTATTTTATCAGACAACATTGGGAAAACAATTTGTTAAATGCTTGAAAACAGTCCATTCGTTTGCGGATAGTGTCATTATGGATAGAAGGAAGAAGAAGATAAGTCAAGAAGACTTTTTAATGATGCAGAATTTCGATGACAACTCTTTTAATGGAACTAAAAAACGGCTCGCCTTATTAGATTTCCTGATTGAAGCAGAGAAAAAAGGAGAAATAGATTTAGAAGGAATTCGAGAAGAAGTGAACACGTTCATGTTTGAAGTAAGTTCTCTATCTGATGTATAATACATTTAAGTTTTTTTAAACATCTTTCTTTCATCGAAATTTAATCCTCCGAATTCTCTCAGTGCTGTTGGCGTCAACAAAAACATTTCATTAATTTATTAATTACTGTATTTATTTGTGTTTTAATTGAAAACACCTTAACCTATTCCAGTATAATACATTCTATTTCTATGTTTTAACCTAATTGTAAAATAGGCGGCAATGATCTTATAGTTACTAAAGCCGACAAGGGCAATACTGTTGTTATTATGGATAATAGCGGGTATAGCCAGAAGGTTAACGATGTTATCCAAGGTGATGACTTTGAGCTTTTGGAGTCTGACCCCACCAAAAAGTTTACTTCGGAAATTAAAGTATGTATACAACAGTCATCATATATTTTTCCCGACCACAACGTGTCTCGCAGCAGTCTTGTTCCAATGAATCCTCAAGCACCCATTTTATATGGATTACCTAAAATACATAAAGAATAGGTTCCTATTCGTCCAGTTGTGTCATATATAGGTGCACCAGCTTATTTCCTTGCTAAAAAGTAAAACTTCCTTCTGCGGGAGAAATCTGGATTCAAACCAACTTGCAGCCTTAAAAATAATTTAGATCTCATTTCCAAGATTAAAGATATCCGTATTCCACCTAAATCCAAGTTGTTATCTTTAGACGTTGATAGTCTCTTCACAAATGTCCCATCCCCAGACTGTTTGCGTATACTCGCAGATCTCTTTAATAAATGTCGTCTACATCCCGGGGAAACAAATGATCTTCTAAAGTTAACCTCTCTCTGTATGAAACAAAACTATTTCCGGTTTAATAACAACTTTTATCTACAAAAAGAAGGGCTAGCCATGGGTTCCCCTCTAAGTCATCTTATGGCGGACATTTTTATGGATAATTTTGAAAAACAACACACAGTTGTCAATCAAAATATCTTATACTATTATCGATATGAAGACGACATACTTATTTGCTGGACTGGCATAAAGAGGCAACTGGATGTTTTCTATATAATAAAATCCACGACAAAATTAAATTTAAGCTTGAATTGGAACAAGATTGTGTCCTTAATTTCCTCGACTTAACAATAACAAGGAAAGAGTCGTTATATGAATTTCAAATTTAACGAAAGCCAACTCATACTGACACGGTCATTCCTGCGTCATCATGTCATCCGTGGCAACATAAATTAGCCGCTTTTTATTGCTATATAAATCGTTTGTTTACTGTGCCATTAAGTAAAGAAAATTATTTGAAAGAGCTTAATGTGATTTATCAAATTGCGGTCTCTAACGGTTGTTCAATGAATATCATTGACAATGTAATAAAAAAGAAACAAAAACTTGTCGTAGGCAATTCTCTGTACGCGGTTAAACCTCAAAGTGATCGTCGATATGTTGGCAGTTTGGTTCCATATCTGCAAAAATAGCTAATACTCTTCGACAGAGTGGCGTGTACGTGGAATTCAAAACAAACAATTCATTTACGAACATCTGTAATTATAAAAATAAGTAAGATATTCGTCTAAAGTCTGGTGTTTATAAACTTGTTTGTGACGAATGCCAAGGCGTTTACGTAGGTCAAACTGGTCGCAACTTCGAAACACGTTATAAAGAGCATTTAGCCGCGTACAGGAATTGTAACCCCGATAAATTACATTTTGCTAAACATCTCTTAGACACTGCACACAGCCTAGCCAATGACCACTCCTTTAAAGTCTTACATACTTGTAATAAAGGGCTACGACTGTGTGTGCTGGAACAGTTAGAGATATTAAAAAATAATAACGGTAATGTTGCACTGCTGAATGAACTAACAAATGTTTCCAACTCGCCTCTCTTAAACATGTTTAAGCCTGCTCCTTGATGATATCCTCGCAACATGGTCGTTTGTCATCCTCACGGTACGGTGGTCAGCGTTTGGATGCGTGGTTGTAGGGTAGGCGGACGTTTCGTAATAGTTTGTTGTTAATTTCACAGCAAATATTGCTCGCTACGTAATTGGAGCGTGGTTGCGTCAGCAAGTAGTATAAATAGCAGTAGTTTCGCAGTTTCCTCCGCAGAGTCTACTTCACCTGAGGATGCTTCGTGTAGAAGCGAAACACGTGTCGTATTTTCGAGAGTGGTGTGTCGTGCCTTGTGTGCTGGTGCTGGGGGTGGAAGTGCTGGGATTAACGGTGACGAGTATAGTGCGCGCGATTGAGGGAGGGTGGGAGGTCCCTATTGAACTGGGCAGGACACATCACTTTCTTTCTTTACGCGGAATTAAGCAAATTAGTTTATAACAACCCCATTAAAAAGTAATATATCAGATACATTGCAATGTAAATAAAATAAATAAATTCTTTATTTGCCACAAATCTTTTCACAATTTAAATGGAACCCTGGCTTCTAAACTAGTTGTAATAACTGTATCTTAAAAACCACAAATAAATAACAATAAATAAATAAATAAAAAGTCTAATAATCATTAGTTAGGAAAATATAAAAAAATATCAGTATGAGAGAAAAGCTGGATCAATATTTTCTTGCGTGAAGGGACGTTCCAAAAAAGTGAAGACTGTACGGTAAAAGAGAAACAAACACATACATAATAGGTTTCAAATAAAAATGTTCTGTGTCCTTACTTAAAATACATCACTTTATTTCGTTCCATGAGAGTCGTCTTTGGGGAAAGGCAGAAAAATCCCATAGCCTCCGATAGAGGGCGATACACCCACTCACAGCTAAATGTAAAGTACACAGACTGGAGACGTTTGTATAAACGAGATATTTGTTAATGTGATCGCCAATCCAATTTCAAGCATGACGATTACATAATAAATTCTAAAATGGAAGAACAGAAACACCGGCAGTAAAATTTTCATGTCTTTAGCTTGCTCAGCAACGTGAAGTTTCCCTGTCCGGCTATAAAAGGATCCAATCTCGGCTATATGGGTCATCACTAGAAATACGCACTAGTTGTACATTAGTTGTGCCGTGAACAACAATTAAAATAATTCATTGCCCCTTATAGTTGGTAAGTGCAAGGTCATACGCATTCGAAGAAAGCATTTCGAGAAACCCACACCGAGAATGTTCAGATCTCATTTTATATGCGGACTAATAAATCACCGATTACAAATTTGTTTTTGTTATACTTTTACGTACTTAACGTCAATGACGCCTTGTTTTAGGGTCACGACACCACCGCCATGGGCTTGGTTTTTGGTGTAATGCTGTTAGCTGATCACGAAGAAGTTCAGGTATGGCTCATTTTAGCACTTTCACTGTCCAGTTTTCAGACACAATAGTAAGTTAATAACAATGACCTATATGTAGTGCACGGGACAGCGGAAGGTTTGAGGTAGACTAGCTTTTTACCAGCAGCTTCGCTTGCGTGATCGTGAATTTAGGAGCATCATTAAATGCTGTTTTGTGGTAAAATTAGCGAAATTTGATCACTTTTAGAGTGACCTCGGTGTCTGTGTCTCTATGTCTGTCAATTTTTTTAAATTCTAAAATACTATTAGACATAGATTAAGTATTTGGCATAGATATAATATGCTACAGGAACACGTGAATACATGTGTCTAGAAACACCTACTGTTTGTTTATATCGGGCGCGTCTTCCCATGTATCCATAAGAAAGGTAAATTGTCTCGGATTCAAAATTTATTATTATTATTATTTACATTTTACTCTTTACATTCATTCATAATTAAAGTTAATTTAGTTTTAAAAAAATAATGATGAGTTGCAGTTCTATAATGATGTGTAGTATACATAATTATACAACTGCATTTATGACATATAAAGAGAATAATAGCCGCAGAAAAAAGAAAACCGTACATAAAAAGACTACAAACGTCACGTAATAAATATAAAACTATGTAGGCTATGATTAATGAAAAAATTTAAAAATCTAAAAGTGTAAAACATGAAAACATTTGTTTATGTAATGACGGATTAAAAACATCTCCTAGTAAAGTTGCAAACATATTTAATAATTATTATATAACCATAAATTCAAAAAACTGCTGCTCTCTTTAATAAACAGCCATCTCGAGTATCCTTATCAAATTCACTATATCTGGGTAGTGTTACAGAGGCTGATGTAAAAAGAACAATAATGCGACTTAAAAGAAACAACTCTTGTGGATATGATGAAATCCCAGCTACTTTACTGATATATTGCGTAGATGAGTTCGTAAAACCCTTAACTTTTCTTATAAATCAATCGTATGAGTATCGTAATCACCGCCGAGCACGTGGTAAATTAGCACTTAAAATTGCAATTAACAATTTCATTGGTACTGGCGGGGATCGAACCCGGGTTGCTTGAGTACTGTGAAGCTTAGAGCGAGCGCTAACCATCTGAGTTACCACGGCTCTTAAATATGAATGAAATAAAAACTACATACATTTTCCGATGAAAAATAAAAAAGTAGCAGCTTAAATACATGTTACTACTGGGTACAGGAAGATTATGTATGATATAATATAATAGATTAAATGAAAAGAGTACGAAAAAGGAAAAGTGATTTATCTAATAGCGTTCTAAGTAATACGATTTAACAAGACATTTGAAAGAATGAAGAGATTGAGCACGACGAATGTGGAGAGGTAAAGAGTTCCACAAACGTACAGCAGTTACAGTAAAGGATTTCTTAAAAAAGGATGAGTGCGAAGGAGTAGAGAGAGAAAGATTGACGGAGGATCGAAGGAACCGATTATGGGTAAGGGAAAGATACTGGAAACGGTCTTTTAAATAATGAGGAGTGGAAGGATTAAACAGCACGCTATACAAAGTGGAGAGAATGTGAGTATTCCTGCGAAGGCGGATCGGGACCCATTTGAGCTGTTTGCGAAATTCAGAGATATGATCATATTTGCGAAGCCCAAATATGAATCTTATACATAAATTTTGAATGCGCTCAAGCTTATTAAGCTGCTCCTCGGTAATGTCAAGATAGCATATGTCAGCATAGTAGTTACTGTGGGAAGAAAATTACGTAATCTACGTAAAGAGCTTAAAGCAGCAAAAATGATTGTTGACCACATCTGCCTAGTCACATCCAACACACACATCCAACGATGCCACGAACGATTTTTCAATTATTTACATCATATATTCAGTAGCATTCTGTTATTTAATTATATCAGTGACTTACCATTTTAGTCTCTTTAGTAGTAAGTAGATGGCGCTATTATTAGATAAAATAATGAACGCCAAAACTATACTATCTAGTAATATCAGCAATATAAGCGAACATTTATTTATTATATCAATAAGGCATAAAGTGATGTCAATTCTGTTAAAAGTTCTGTTTCTATTAACAAAAACACGCTATCAGCGCCACTAACGGTGAAAAACGATTTAATGATATCGTCATATGACCATATCATGAAATAGCAACGTTGTGTTTAGTTATTACTGTCTTCAAACGATTTCTATTTATTGGTTTGGTCAACATATATCATGAGATGGTCAACAAATAGTGTTAAATATCATGAAATGACCACACCATTTCACGAAATGATAGGCTACTTTATGATATAATGATCAATTCTACGATCTGGCCACGACATAATATATAAAAATCTCTTTAATAAAACTATAATGATAATGAAAATTTTGCAATCATTTCAGACATACCAGTTTTAATCAATTTACATATAGATTAGTAATTGAAATAAAAACCTTATCAATTTTCATATTTTTGATAGAAGTCACTATTACCTATTGAAATTATTACACTTTTAAAATAAAATCACAAAAGTACTAAAAAACTAAACGTTAGAATCTATACATATAATAAATCTGTAGAAAAGTCGTGTCTGTAATTCTAATATATTCTTGAAAAAACAAGTCCAGGGGACTAAATAAAGGGTTCTGAAGCCAAATTAGTGGTTTTAGAATTTTTGTCTGTCTGTCTGTCTGTCTTTCTGTCTGTCTGTCTGTCTGTCTGTCTGTCTGTCTGTCTGTGTATTCCGCATTCACGCAAAAACTACTGAACCGATTTACATGAAATTTTGTATGTAGGCAGTCAGTAACCCGGGGCAACTTATAGGCTACTTTTAATATGATTACGGAATTTCAAAAAAGGAAGGTTAAGTATATTAATTTCCTTTAGATGTTAATTTTCTGTTGTATCTTAATTATAGGCGGAATGACGGGTGTTTTTTAAATAAATACCATATTACCATATTTGTTAATAAAGTTTAAAATATAGTTATAATCTTGGTAAAATAATTTGAAACTACACCGATTTCGTATTCAAAACAGCGCCATCTATCATCAAATGAAAAAAGTAGTATATGTTGCCTTCACTTACTAATAAATGAAATAATATAAATAACTTACTTACATTTATATGATTTTTAAAATTATTAAAAAATTGTAACGTTCAGTTTTTTAGTATTTTTGTTATTTTATTTTAAAAGTGTATCTAATAATTTCAATAGATAATAGTGATGTCTATCAAAAATATGAAAATTGATAAGGTATTTATTTCAATTACTAATATATATGTAAAGTGATAAAAACTGGTCTGTATGCAATTGTTGCAGAATTTTTATTATCATCATAGTTTTATTAAAGAGATTTTTATGTAAGTCGTGGCTAGATCGTAGAATTGATCATATATCATAAAGTAGTCTATCATTCCGTGAAAACACTGAAAAAATGACTGAAATGAATATGTATTTAACACTATTTGATGACCGTGTCATTATATAGCTTGACCAAATCAATGAATAGAAATCTTTTGAAGTTATTAGTAACTAAACACAACGTTGCTATTTCATAATATGGTCATATGACGATATCATTATCGTTTTTCACCGCTAGCGGCGCTGATAGCTTATTTTTAACAGAAACAGAACTTTTAAGAGAATTGACATCACTTTATCCCTTATTGATATAATAAATAAATGTTCGTTTCTATTGCTGATATTACTAGATGGTATAGTTTTGGCTTTCATTATTTCATGTAATATTAGCGCCACCTACTTACTTCTAAATAAATTAAAATGTCAAGGCATTGATAAAATGAAATAATACAATGCTACTGAATAAACGATGTAAATAATTGAATCATTTACATTACGTTCATCCCGCGTTGGAATCAGTGCAGCGAACTCTTTTTGGCCAAAAACTCTACAGCTTGTGCCCAGTAGTAGCATGTATGTAAGCTGCTTTTTTACTTTTCATGAGGCAATATATGCAGTTTCTATTTCATTCGTGTTTTCGAGTATGATAATTTATGTTTTCACTCTACCGTAAATATTAAGGCTTGCATAGATCAGTAGAACTCATTATCGTCAGCCTATCAAAAGTCCACTGAAATGAACATAGGCCTCCCCCATAAATTGTCAAGTAGCTGGATATTTGCTATAGTGGCGGGTTGGCAACTGCAGCTATTATTATTTTGATCTGTTGTCAAGAAGATGATGCAGATCACCCCATCTACTATTTTTTTCCTATGTCGCCTCTTACGACGGGACGATATGATGTGTTGGATTTTCTTTCACCGCCACAACGGTGCGAATATTTCTCTACTCCCGTTCATGAGTGTAATGATCCTCACGTTCACTGTGTATAAAATTTATAAGGAATAAAAGTAATTTTAAGGATTTTATCACGTTTAATTTTAACTTTTTAAATTCCCGATGGTTTGGGCAATTTATAGCACCCATGGTCACGGGAGGGGTGGGAGAACTGAGGTGTTTGACGACCTGATGTCATAGTTAAAATGCAGTAGTAGTTTGAATTTAATTTTATTAATCGTGGAGTCCTTAGCAGATAGTAGCACTCAGCCATCTTCCCTATTAAAATTAGGATATTTTAATTTCAATAGCCTCGCCAATCATCATTGGTAGGATTCGGTGTTCTATTGCAAGAATTTGTTGTATATAATGGTTGGGACGATACTAAACATGTTTACATAGTTTAGACTTCCCGGAACTTCGGTGCTTTCATTCGGTGAGGAGTCAAGATGCGTAAAAAAACCCGTAACATTAGTTTTAATCCATGTGTGGTATTCATTATTAGAGAACTGTATCTATGAAATTTTCAAGTCTACTCGAAGTAAATAAAAATATCTATATCTTTTTATTGTGCCAATCAATATTAAATAGGACCAATGATATGAATAAAATGTCTCAAATAAACATTATATTACTTTGTTAAAACTAAATTTACTTTAACTATGAATATATATATGTAAAGAGTAAAATGTAAGTAATAATAATACATTTTGATTTCAAGACTATTTACCTTTCTTATGGATACATCGGAATCGGAAGACACGCCATATATAAAAAATAGTAGGAGTTTCTAGACATATTATAAGTATATTCACGTGTTTCTGTAGCATGTTACCAATCATCTACGTCTAATAGTATTTTAGAATGAAAAAAAATCTCTGACAGACATAGAGACATAGACACCAAGGTGACTCTAAAAGTGATCGAATATTTCTAAATTTGACACGGAACAGCATTTAATGATGTCCCTAAATTCAAGCGCACGCGAGCGAAGCCGCGGGTAAAAAGCTAGTTCTTAAATAATTTTAAAAATCTTATTACTCACACAAATAAATGTAAGTTACTTATATTATTAATTTATTAATAACCGAAGGCAAAATACACTACATTTTCTATCTAGATAATTTTCTAGTTAGATAATTAAATCGCTTTAGTTTCAAATTATTTTACCAAGTTTATAACTATATTTTAAACTTTACTTATAAATATGGCATTTATTTGAAAAAACACCCGTCATCCCATCTGGAGGAAGGAAGGAAAATACTTAACCTTCTTTTTTTGTAGTTACGTAATTGGAACAACTACTACATACAAAAACTAACTAACAATAGATTAATGATAAGTCATCGCGTGCTCATGACTTATCATTAATCTATACTAACTAACATACAAAATTTCATGTAAATCAGTCCAGTAGTTTTTGCGTGAATCCGGAGTACACAGACAGACAGACAGACCGAGATAAAATTTCTAAGAACTACTGATTTGGGTTCAGAACCCTTTATTTAGTCTCCCGGACTTGTTTTTTCAAGAATATATTAGAATTAAAGACACAAATTTTCTACAGATTTATTATATGTATAGATGTATAGATAAAATCTCTAACTCCATCACTAAAGCTGGTAGTACATCACTAGTTCGGAAAAAAGTTTCTTGCTTGGGTCCAAAGAACCAAGAAGAAACCAAAAAATGTTAAATTAATTATTATTATTTGTCCTATCTAAACAAAATTAGCGCACTGTACCTTAAACTCAAAAGCCTTTTATCAAAATGAAAAAAAAAATAGTTTCATTTTACGTTTAATTTAAATTTGTTATAGACTTTTTGAAATGTACTTGCTTGTGTATACCTTTGTGATGAGAATTAGAGCGTCTGTATTTGTTATGTACCAAACTGCTGCTGCAGACTTTTATAGGTCTTTATGCTATTCGTATTCTAACTTAAAAATGGACAGGTGTCAGGACAATGTGAGCGTTGTTCAATGAAATGATAATTAATTACAGGAGAAAATTTACGAAGAATGTAAAAGTATATTCGGTGATTCGGACCGCACGCCAAGTTGGTCCGATTTGACTGAGATGAAATATCTAGAAGCGACCGTTAAGGAGATATTACGGCTCTATCCCAGTGTACCATTCGTTGGAAGACAGGTCACTGAAGATTTTATGCTGGGTGAGCTTATATGTTACGAAATTGTTACTTGTCTGTGAAGCCTGTTGAATGTTGCATTTGCTGTCATACGTGGTAAAGTTATGCTGCTATTTCTTCAAATAGGTTCAGACGGGGATTACGGGTCTTCCGAGGTCGTCCCGGTCCCAACGCCTTAATTTTTCAATATGTGCCGCTCCGGCGACACCAGAAGGACTGTACTTATTCTTAAAGGTGAAGGATCCCTTGGGAATAAAACAGCAATTATCTTCAAACCGTTCCGTGAGAGAGTAATTACTTTCCCTATCACTTCCTTGTATACTTTTCTTTCTTGATTATATTATATACTGGTAGCTGGTCCCGAACGATTTACATGAAAATCAGTCTAACGGGGTATCAAAAAGGCTATACTCGAAAGAGAGCCGCGCCCTCTATGCAATTTCGCAACTTAATTACATCAATTTCTACTATCACTCCGTCACGGTTTGCTTAATATCTTTATTTGTATAAGACATACATTTATACATTTTATTTATAAAGATAGCACAAAAACATATCTATACTACGATATACATTATATTTTCATATCACAAAAAACCTTTTATTTATTCAACAAAATATGCATATTTTACAACATATGCACTAAGTTAGAATTCTTAAATATCTAACATATAAGGCTGAAACAATGTTCTTTATTTGAAAATACAAATATCTTAACTAATACAATAGTTTAATTTACATTTTTCCTATATATTTTACCATTTAAAACACTTTTAAACTTTTTATACAAAACTATCAATATTTTACTATTCTATAGGACTATATACATGAAAACAACACAGAATTCATCTGGTTTGCTCATACAGTCAACCTGAAACATTTTACAAGTCAATTTTACATAAATTGCTGAAATTTACAAACATTTAAATTTCTATTTATTTAAACTTTGATTCTACAGATTAGCACGCTGTTGTTGTATCCAACTAGTAGATGAACAACTAACTTTTACCCCACACCCTGTGGTCGGTAAAGCAGATGGCAATATTAGCCTATTTCTCTGTGGTCCATTACCACAAGATGAGTAATCAATCCCTGCACGACCCCCATTGTCGGCAAGGTAGTATCCAATAAGAATCTCTTATCAGTTATCAAAGCTGTTATCAGTTATCATGTTCTTATCAGATAACACAAAGAAAATATTTTATTAACCAAACATTGAAAATAGACATTTACTTTCGTACAAAATGTATTAAACTTATATAAGACAATGCTTATGCAATTATTTTACATTAATTCCACTTATTCACAAAGTGATCATTTCGACCGGGGAACAAATCCTGGTCCTTAACTTTATTTTAATATTTCTTTAAATTATCAATATTATTGGAAAGGTGGTTTCAACCGGGGAACTGAACCCCGAAACATAACTTATATCTTAAAAATTCCCTTTATGAATTTATTAAGAAAATATTACTAAGAAAAACGACGAACTAGTCAGGCCTGGGAATCGGACCCAAGACTTTCAAATTATTAATTCGACATTTCTTTAAGATTCAACTAAGCGTTTTCTTATTAGAGTATTATGACTTGAAATTTTCGCTTTTAGAAGCTATTCGTAATCGGTTAACTAATAAATTGGAATGTTTTTATAGACGCGTCGCCAACAGGTAGAGTAACTTCTCAAGCATGGGTTCATTACTTTATTTTAAACTAAATATTTGTTTTTAGGTGACGTACTAGTGAAGAAAGACGTTGATATACTTATACATATCTATGACTTGCATCGTCGTGAGGATATCTATCCGGAAGCAGAGGCCTTCAAACCGGAACGGTTCCTTGACGGAGAAGTTCGTCATCCATATGCTTACATACCGTTCAGTGCTGGACCAAGGAACTGCATTGGTTAGATTTTGATTAATTAAAAAACTGCTCAATAATGCATTTGTGGTGGTGCTTTTGTTGCCAAATAGCGTAAAGGGACCGAACAAAAATTGAACCTAAATCCTACTATCAAAGATTTACTCTGACTCTCTGGTGACTCCGCTTTAAAATTTTGCAGAGGACCAAATATTTGAACAGTAAAATTAGAGACTAATCATATCGTACATTGGTCAGATATATGATTTGACAAATTCACTGTTAATCAAACACGCTTTTGTCAGTCAAGGAGAAATGTAAATGATAGTTATAATTTGTATTATATTATTTGAAACAAAAGTTTTAAAGACATTACATTCTTCTTCAAAGATCTGAGAACCTGAAATCGTTATAAACTTAATTTTATAAACATACGCGTGAACTTGGTTGTTGTAAGAGGCGACAGAAGGAAACCTACCAAGAGAGCAGCATCTTCATAATAACAAAAATAAAACACTGCGGTAGCCAACCCGCTCGCCAGGTGTGGTAACTATGATAAATATCTCCCATATAAGGCAATCTATTGGGGAGGCCTACGTTCATCAGTGGATTTTTAATAGGATTTAACGGTAACGGTTTGAGTATGGTCGGGAAACTTTTCTTACATAAAATTAGAAGTTTTCGACTCTTTTTCGTCTTTTCTTTTTTGACGCAAAAATGCTAATTAATATTAAGTCCACGCTTTGTAAACTTTACGGTTAAAACAATAAAGTTTTTAAATAAATAAAGGTGATCAGTTTATTAAAGTTGGTAAAAAATTACTTCGCGTACAGCCGCTCGATAAAATAAAATGATGTGTCTTACCTAGTTTGAAGAGCACCTCCCGTCCTCCCTCAATTGCGTGCACTATCACCGTCACCACTAATCCCAGCACCACTGTTCCCAACACCACTACACTAGGAAAGACACACCACTGACGACAGTACGACACGTGATTGGGATTAGTGTACGCAATTTATAGTGGTCTTTTATAGTGGTAGAGTCACTCGGCAGCTTTTACTGTCGCACGGATGGGCCGGCTCGAACCGGGGTGGTACCACGATCTCACAGAATTCCAGCGTGAAGTAGAGGTTTACCTCTGCGTTTCGCTTGGTGAGTGCAGGTGGCCGGAGGCCCTTTTTACTGGAAATGAGGCATTCCATCTTAGTCCTCACGGGTGACAACGCATCTGCATTTTGATTCGCAAACGAGGTTAGATGTAGATGTCTATGGGCCGCAGCAACCACTTACCATCAGGTGGACTGTGTGCTCATTTGTCACCCTTATCCTATAAAAAAAAATTGAGGGAGGACGGGAGGTGCTCTTCAAACTAGGTAAGACACATCATTTTATTTTATCGAGCGGATGTACGCGAAGTAATTTTTTACCAACTCTAATAAACTGATCACATTTATTTATTTAAAAACTTTATTGTTTTAACCGTAAAGGTTACAAAGCGTGGACTTAATATTAGTTACTTAAACCCTGACTCATTATACTGAATAATAGCATGTTTCATTATACCTACCCTATTGTGGACGCGTATGTTTGAAATCAAGCAATTTAATTTCTATTCTAGACCTATTGATTTGCTCTTACGATTATTTTGTAAAAGGATTAAAAGCTTATTCAATTAATTAAAATAAGAGCTTATCAGATTACTAAAGGGAATTATAATATATATAATAATAACTACTAAAATAATAACTACGTGGTAGAGCCATGCCGCAGCTATATTATGGTTGTAGCACGAATGGGTCGGCTCGACCGGGGAAGGACCACGCTCTCACAGAAAACCGGCGTAACATAGCAGCTTAACGCTGCTGTGTTTCGTATGGTGAGTGTAGAGAACCGGGGACCCTTTTTACTGGCAAAGAGGCATTCCATCTTAGTCCTCACGGGTGACAACGTATCTGCATCTTGACTCTTTATTGAGGATAGAGAGTCAAGGACAAGGTTACAGTAACCACTTACCATCAGGTGGACTGTGTGCTCAAAAAAAAAATATAGTCGCTCGTCTGAGTTGTGTATTGTATGGCATGTGTTCTTAAAGTAATCCGAAACAGCACGAAAATTATTATTGTAATTTTTAAGTTTTAAAAGAAGTAAATAGTAATGTTACTAAAATTACATAAATATGAAAGGTGACGCCATCTATTTGTAAATTTTGACGCGGCTCTTGGGATCTCTTTTTGCAGCAATAAACTGAATAATTTATGTGTATTTGTAGGACGTCGATTTAGCGGCGCAAATAGATTTAGTCTAGTGAGCAGTGCGGCTGCAACTAGTTTTATTGTACGCATAGGACCGCGTGGACTTATACTTTGACAGAGGGTAACGCCTGCATATGCCTCTCCCCGCATTCGGTCCGCCGGTGGCCCATGTTGCTCTATGATAAATATAGATAGTATTATAAATATATGTATCACGTATGAATAAAGTAAAAGTTTAAATCTTAATATGCAGGTCAGCGATTTGCGATGCAAGAAATGAAATGTGCCCTCAGTGAGATTTGCCGGAACTTCAGACTAACGAGAAAGGCGAAAGGGGTCCGACCAACGCTTAAGGCGGATATTATGCTGCGACCTATCGAGCCTGTTTATGTAAAATTTTTACAGCGTTAGTTAAATAAAGCGATAAAAAATTTATATCATTAATGTTTTTCTTTTTATGGATTTATTCTTGTGAGCAAGAGAAGAAGTAGCAAGAAACAAGAAAAAAATCTTTATTTTCTTTAAAATTTATTTCTCAAATGAACATTATTCATATAATAAGGAGTACGCAATATATAGGCTACATTAAGACAATATAAGTGATTAAGGCCCTAACAGCTGGCGAAATGCCTAAATTCTTGGATATTTAAGTATAAATTATAATAACTGGTCATTCAATCCGCAAAGAATACAGGATGACATAAGAGGATTCAATAAATGTTTTTAATTAAATGAAATCGTATTTTTGTCAACCCCTTATTTGAAAAAAAAATCCGCAAAGAGTATCTACCTATCTTTATCATATTTTGCAAAATTGCTCCAAAACGGCACAATCTCTTAAAATAGTTTTTACGCTAAAAACAGTTCTTAAAAATATTAAAAATTTTAATTGAGAGTTATTTTTATTCCCTGTTTTACTCCAGAAAATATAATTTTTCCCCAAAATTGAATATATTCGCACGAGCGTGCCTGCTCCGTCGCCCTGTAATCCCCGTGAGACCTGTCGCAGTCCGTTTTCGGACGCCATGGACGCGCGGTCCATATCGTTGAGATTCCCCGGAATATGGCTCCTCTCTTAATTTGGATGACATTAATCGTCACTTTGTTTCTATTACTTCATTGGACCCTCAAGTCCGTTCTCAAACTATTGCTTCTATAGAATCAATGCAGCTTCTCCGGATCCCTGACTTTTATTTCTCCCCTGTTACTCAGGATGAAATAAAAAATGCTCTGTTAGCCATTAAATCTAAGGCTGTGGGTTATGATGCATTTAGTAAGCGAATGATATCTATGATACTTGAGTACCTACTTCCAGCTATAAAACACATTATAAATTATTCTCTGGACTCCGGTCATTACCCTTCTGCATGGAAAAAGGCTTTTGTACGACCCCTTCCTAAAATACCTTATCCTGTACTCCCTAACCATTTTCGTCTCTCCCATATGTGACGTCTCATCTCAACTCTCCCATACCTCACTAAAGTTCTGGAAGCCTGTGTTTTTAAGCAAATATCTGTGTTCATTGCAAAACATAACCTGCTGAATGAATTTCAATCGGGGTTTCGCTCTGGTCACAGCACTACCACTTCGCTTATCAAAGTCACAGACGATATAAGAAAAGGCTTGGATGAGCAGAAATTATTATATTATTTATTGACTTTTCATACGCTTTCAACACGGTAGATCATAGTATCCTCCTATCTATCCTTAAACACCTAACATTTTCATCCCCAACCTTGGAGTGGTTCTTTTCTTATATTCGCGGCCGCCAGCAATCGGTTCGTTCAAGTAAGCTTTTTTCTGCATGGGCTGAAATTGAATCTGGTGTGCCGCAAGGCGGAATACATTCTCCTATTATGTTTTCCGTATTTATAAACTCTATCTCCTCAGTTTTAGATTGTTCGTACCATCTGTATACGGATGATCTTCAGCTCTATATGCAGTCAGACTTAAATAACCTTAACTATCTAGTACACAAACTAAATAATAACCTGGAAGCCATAAGAGAATGGTCGTATAAATATGACGTTTCAGTTAATCCAGCCAAATGCAAAGCTGTAATCTTCGGAAGTTCACAATTATTGGCTAAGATTGATTATAGAAATCTCCCTTCTGTAATTTATAATGGAACTTTTTCCATATTCCATATTCCATAAAAAATCTTAGCTTCTACATGGACAAAACTATGACCTGGAAATTGAAGATCTCTGAAGTAAGTCGTAAAGTTGTTGCCACCTTGCGTTACCTTTATCGTCTTAAAAATTTCCTACCTTTCAAAACCAAGCTTACACTTGTTCATTCTACGTATTATATATTATGCAGATGTATGTTACCCAGATTTGTCACAAAATATTCTAAACAAGTTGGAGCGCCTTCTTAATAATTCCATAAGGTTTATTTTTGGTTTACGTAAGTATGAACACATATATTTCTATCGTTCAAAGCTTAAATGGCTACCTATTCGTCAAAGGCGATGCTCTAGAATATTACTTGTACTTTATTCAATTTTAAACGATCCAAGGACGCCTTTTTATCTTAAGGGTAACTTTCATTTTCTTCATTCGATTGACGGTCGAATACTACGACAATCAAACCGTCTGAGGATAAGGTTTCCACAGCATAGGTCAAATTTTTTCAGGTCCTCGTTTACGATACAAGCTATACATCTTTGGAACACCCTCCCCGATGATATTAAGAATGATACAAATAGAAACTCATTTAAATTACTTCTACGACAACATTACCTGAAGGCACTTACTAACTGACATTTTTCTTTCTTCAAATATTTATTTATTTATATATTAATACGGATATTTATAAAGTTTATAAGCATGTATACACATTACATATATATATATATATATATATATATATATATATATATATATGTATGTATTATTGTATGTAAATATATGTTATATATATTTAAATATATATTTATTTAAATACATGTTGTGTATGTATGTACTATGTATGTATTAAATTTTAATATAAATACACTTTATTTATGTATTATGTTTCGCACCTGCCTACAATTGTCTTTGGCACTCAGGGTTGACTGGCAGAGAATGAGGACTTAATGCCATATGGCATTAAGTGCACCCTATGTACCCTTTACCTTAAGGTGATACATTTAAGTTTTTAAATAAATAAATAATAATACAAAGTTCAGCAGCAATTAAGGATAAACACCTAAAGAAATGAAAACCACGACCAGTCTTTTTGGATAAACATAGTGACCATAGTCAGATATAAGTAAAGGTTTAAATCGATTAAAATACTAAGTAACATTGTGACATTGAGTTGAAAGTTTAACTTAAATTTCTCAATTATCTGACTAGGTAATTGAGAAATTTACCACTGTAATTATTTTGTATCCCGACAATGAGGGCTGCTGCCTAGCTTGTATGATAAACTAACGGCTGTAACTCTTCGTAAAACTACTGTGAAAGTCCTACAGCCCCAACTTCCAAATATTGTTAAATTTCACAATTAAGTTTCGAGAGCGGTGCTGAAGCTTTTGAAAAAAACTAAATAAATAAACTGTACACGCCCCTAGCTGCCCCAATCAAGGATGACGGGATTACGGCCCATGAGTAATCCCATCAAAGAGCAGCAGAGGGACGGGGCCAGAATATGGCCACGTGGAATTTCTATAAAATTATTATGATAAGGTCATGCTTTTCTATAAAAAAGTTGCAAGAAATTTTAAATCACGGACCTATTGGTTTGTTTTACTTTTCACTTAATTAGTTGCTCAAGGCACTATAAACAAAGCTGCTGACAAAATGTTACACTCATAACTGTTAACAAAAACTGTTTCTGCAAATGGTCTTATAGATAATAATAACTATTCCGCCGTGTTAGGTGCAGGAGCTATTATTAGAAGAAGAGGTAAAATTTTGTTTTAGAAATGCGCAATCAATATTGTTTTGTCTGCAATTGAGCATAAAATAAAAAATAACTTCAGCCAAAGAGCATAACTGGCATTATACGCAGGCCCATCAATTAGTATGGAAAAAAAAAAAATTTTATCAAGTTTCAAAAAATCAATCAAAATTCAAAAAAACATAAATATTAAAACCAAAAAATGTATATATGTATGTCTATACATACATACAATGATTTATGGCCGCTTAGTAACTGACGGTGACTCAGTATAACATCCTACAGTCAAGCCGAAACTAAGAGGAGAGAATCACTGTAGAAAAGGTAATAATTTATAGCGGAAATTTTGTGATAAAATTAAAAAAATTACAAACTTATCCATGTTAATCTAACTGAGTCTAACTTATTCTTATGCGTTTAAAAAAAATAGTGAGATGGCGTCAGTTTTTAAGAAGATATAACAAAAATAAAGAAAAAAATAAATTTCATAAAAGTTCAGTATTTAATTGATTATATACCGCTGACCGTTTTCAGTGCCTAGAAGACTGCAATGAAGTGGACGATTTGAATGACAAGCTCGTGAAAACTGTCCATGCGGTCGGAGCTAAGTTCTGCAAGACCCGCCGCAGAAGAACACAAAAACTCTCCGATCACACTCTTAATCTCATGGCTGTTAGACGGGAGATGAAGCTACATTCTTCAACAGATTTAACAGCATACAGGCAACTGAACAGACAGATCTCCAAATGCATGCGGCGGGACTTACGCAACTTCAATACAGCTCGTATTGAAGAAGCGATCGAGCGGAACCAAGGCTCCAAAGTCTTTGCCAGAGATCTGTCTGCCAGAAAGCGCCAACTGTCAAAGCTGAAGACAGAATGTGGCAGCATCGTTTCCGGGGCACCTGAGATTTTGAGTGAGATTGAGAGGTTCTATGGGCAGCTGTACACGTCATCGTTGGAGCCGCACGCAAGTGTGAGTAACGATCCAAGAGCGAGTCTTATCCGACATTATTCCGATGATATCCCGGACGTCAGTCTGAGCGAGATTAGAATGGCTCTCCAGCACCTTAAAAACGGCAAGGCCCCAAGCGAGGATGGAATTACAGCGGAGCTTCTGAAAGCGGGTGGAAAACCGGTACTTGAAGTCCTTCAGAAGCTCTTTAATTCCGTCCTCCATGGTGGCATTACACCGGAGGCGTGGAGCAGAAGTGCGGTGGTCTTGTTCTTCAAGAAAGGTGACAACGCTCTCTTGAAGAACTACAGACCGATTTCCCTTCTGAGCCGCGTCTACGTGCTGTTTTCGAGAGTCATTACGAATCGTCTCGCGCGCAGACTTGACGACTTCCAGCCTCCCGAACAAGCCGGTTTCCGAAAAGGCTTTAGCACCATAGACCACATACATACCCTTCGGCAAATTGTACAGAAGTCCGAGGAGTACAATTTGCCACTATGTCTGGCGTATGTGGACTATGAGAAAGCCTTTGATTCCGTCGAAATTTGGGCGGTGCTGCAGTCCCTTCA